AAAGAGGGGGGTGGGTTGGGGTTTGGGGGGGCTGCTGACCCACCCTCCTCATCATCATCATCCTCCGGCAGGGCCTGATCCTGGCGTCGGACGTGCAGCAGCTGCGGCAGGCCATCGAGGAGTGCAAGAGGGCCATCCTGGCGCTGCCCGAGCACTCCGAGCGGCAGAAGGACGCCGTGGTAGATGTACGAGGACGACGAGGAGGAGTCGGAGGCGCAGGGCGCCAAGTGATGCCCGACGCACCCCCCTGCCGCCCACAGCCCCTCCGGCTTCGCGCTGCCACCCTGGCCGGGCTCCTCCCGCGTGTGCCCCTTTGGTGTCTCCTGACCCCGTCCCCCCCATGAGCCAGCTCGGCCCCCTCTGCCCCCCCCTCCTGCCTCCCCTCTTTTCGTTTTTTACTGGTTCGTGTCTATTATTTTTTTTGAATACTTAATAAATTTATTGCTGTCCAGGTACCACCTGTCTGCGGCTCCTGGGGGAGGGAGGGAGGGATAGGGACCCTCTGCTGGGGGCTCTTCCCATGAAGTGGGGGGACTTGGGGACCCCATGTGCCCAAGGTGGCTGTGTCCGTGCCCTGAGCCCCTCACAGGCGATGCCTGTCCCCAGTGTGTCTCCTTGCAACATGTGCCCCACGCTGTCCTGCCCCATGGGGTCCAGCCCACCTGAGGTGGGGGTGTAGGTGCCACCTCACCTGGCTGCAGTGCCCAGGAGAGTAGCTGTGCCTTTGTCCCCACTGTCACACATCTCCCTGCTGGGATGGTGGCTGCCCCCTCCCTGTGCCAGGACAGCCTTGGCCCCTTGTCCCCCTGAGGACCTCAGGGTGATCCCCCAGGGCTGGGCATGTGCCTGGCTTTGGGGGACCCAGGGCACCCCCAGCCCAAACAGCCCTCAGCGCCCTTGCTCTGGGGACCCGTGACTCCAGTCTGGGTGCTGGGCTGCCCCCAGGGTGGGGGGCCAGGCTGTGGTGCCATGGGGCTGTGATCCCTGGGGACCACTGCTCCTTCCTGGAGCTTGTGTGTCCCTGTGTGGGCGTGGAGAGAGGGGCTGTGGGGGCAAGGGAAGGGGCTATGGGGCCAGGGCTGGGGGCTATGGGGGCAAGGGACAGTGGGGCTGGGGGCTATAGGGACAAGAGACTATGGGACTGGGGGCTCCAGGAGCAAGAATCTATAGGTCTAGGGGCTATGGTGACCAGGAGCTATAGGAACAAGGCACTAGGGAGTGGAGGCTATAGGGACAAGAAGCTATGGGGCTGGGGGGAAAGGGACTGTGGGGCTGGGGGCTATAGGGACAAGAAGCTATGGGGCTGGGGGCCCTGGGAGCAAGGATCTATAGGTCTAGGGGCCACGGCGACCGGGAGCTATAGGAACAAGGAACTAGGGTGTGGAGGCTATAGGGACAAGAAGCTATGGGGCTGGGGGCTATAGGGACAAGAAGCTATGGGGCTGGGGG